CGATCCACTATCCCATGAGTCCCCTGTCTTGCCTTCGTTGTTCTTTCCGGTGGACATGTTTATGCTTCCCTTTGTCCCCTCTGCATCCATTGCCTTCCTCCTCTTGAGGCCACCCTCCGTGGTCTCTTGCCCCCCCTCATTGTTCAACGTCCGCTTGTTATCTGTTTGTGTTCCGGTCTTCCGGAGCGCTGCTTGTTCCAGATTTTTTAGCCTGCTTCAGAAGCTGGTTGGTTCCTTGTTGAATTCCTGCATGGCTTGTTCCCTGACTGCATCCAAGTCCCATAGTAAGTCTTCTCGATCCTTCTCTTCCTTAATCACCCGGGAGTCGATAAGCGGATCGGTGTTTATCCTCGTTGGGTTGCCTGACACTTTCCCAATTGCTTTCTTTTGCCATCTGCTATCTGCTGGAGGGAAGATGTTCGGTTTCTTGACTGTGGGTTCCAGATCAGCATAATGCCAGACCCAGTTTGGTTCCTCCAGGTTGTCATCAAAGACCCATCCATCACAGTTGCTGTTCGTGACGAACCAGATTCCTAGAGCGTCCTCCACTTCCACCAGCATGTTGGGAAGGAGTTTGTGTTCTTTTGGCTGTTTTGGAAACTTGGGACAATTGGGGTCTGTTCCGATGTGGCCCCACTCCCTACATCGAAAACAGACCGGGGAGTTCTTGGTAGAGACCTTGATTTCCACTACTCTGTTCTCGATCCGGAAATTCCAAGTCTGTGGAAATACCGGGGGGCTGTTTGTTTTGACCTCCAGCACTGTTGTCATGGATCCACAGTGCGGGGCCAAAAATTCCGGTGTTGGCAGGATCCATTTGAGGATCTTGTTCGCTGTGTACTGTTTCTCAAGTCTGTCCACCAGCAGACCGTGAAAACCCAGCTGGATGTTGTCGAACTGCACCCATAAATTTTCCTATAAGAGTGTCTGTTTGTAGGAGACCGAAAACACTGGGTTTTGTCTCTAAGCATTCAATTTCTTCCATTTGGTGATCGTACAGACCGAAGCATTACAATTCCTGGATTGCATTTCAGCCGCGGCCTTTGCATGTTCCTCCCAGATAAACATGGACGTGATATTGTTTCGACCCAGGTTTTGTAGTGTGAAAGTTTCACCGGATTGCTTGAGTTTGAGTTCTTTCTTAATAGTTTCAATTGCCCATTTCCTTTTCTCTGCCGGTTGGAGATCTGCACCATTGCATGTAAAGTTGAGGACCACGCCACGTCTTTCGTGCAGATTGTCCAACTCCGCCACTTTTTCCTCCGGATACTTCCAAACAATTATCTCTTCTTACTTGTCATCCACCTTTTGTGTCTCCTTGGTCTGTAACCCCTGAACTTTTGTCTTATCTATCAGAAATTTGAGAGCCTCGTTGTCAATCACATTGACGCATTTTCCCACCATGTTTGGGTTCATTGAAATCGCGTCTTGGGAAGAAGACACCATTATTCTTATACTGCGAGGAAGCCAGTCGTAGCACCCTCTAACTGTACCACCCGATTTGTCGGTTCTTGCTAGGGGCGATGACAAAGGGAGTATTCGACAGGGATGACAGGGGTTGGCGGTGAGAGTGGTAAGTGCTTAATAGAACAGGTAGACTAAACACACTTGGGAACAGTCGTGCGCTATTGCGAAAATTTTGGCAGCATTTACCCTCCCCACTTGGGGATCGGGTTTTCGGCAGGTATCACGTCAGTGATAGTGTAAGTAGATAGTTGATCAGACGAATGTTTAGTAACTGGACGATAGTCTGAGTTGCACTTAGCAACACAACCACATGTATTAAAAAGCGAACGAACTGGCAGCATTTACCCTTCCCACTTGGGGATCGGGCTCCCAACAGAAGACCAGCAACCAGTAAGGCTAGAGAAAGAGATGCCACATGAGGAAAGGCGGAGAAGCACACTTGGCAAGGCCTTCATAATCAGGCCAAGAACTCTAAGGAAGAAAAAGCAGGACGGGGGGAGGGGCGAGGAAGGATGGAGACAGGTGGCGTCGAGATGGGATCAGGATGGGAACAGGATGGAAACGGGACAGGAGTGGGCTGGGATCGGGATAGGATCGGGATAGGATCAGGATGGGATCGGGGTGGGATCGGTCTAGGATTGGGATGAGCTCGGAATGGGATCGGGGTGGGATGGGGATGGGAGAGGATAGGGACTGGTCGGGTCGGGATGGAATCGGGATGGGGTCGAGATGGGATCAGGCTGGTATCGGGTGGGGACGGATGGGATCGAGATGGGATCGGGATGAGATCGGGAAGGGATCGGACTGGGATGGGGAAGGGAACGGGATGGGATCGGGATGGGATGGGGCTGGGAACGGATGGGGACAGATGGGTGGCTGACTAGGGTCGATGGATCGATGGATCTGAAACGGTTTCACCTTTTTCAGTAGCAGATGCAGATCCCAGGGCTCGATCCCTAGACCTTGCCCTACCCGTGTACAGTACCTGTGTAAACCCCGAGAGTTGAACCKGTGACCTGTGTATTMGTAAAYAGTTGGTAGGCMTGTCGTAGGTCCATAGGTAGCAGGGGTTCGATCTGTAGATCTATAGAGTAGAAGTCCTAGTGAGTTCCAGAAGTCTAGCTGTAGCCCTTCTAGAAGGTCGGCAAGTGGGCAAGTGGTCAAGTGGCGAGTCAAGTGGTGGACTAAACTGCAGTGCAATCGCAGTACGACCTCGGTAGGATAGCAGTGAGTCCACAGTCAGTTAGCGGTAAGGTCCAGTCAGTCCCAGTCCGGTCCAGAAAGTACCACGAGGGACTGTGAGCACCATGGGCTGATGGAAAGGGGCATACCACCAAGTTTCAGAAATATAAATCAAGAGGCAGCGCCCAGCCATTCATTGATTCCTGGGTGAGCCATGGGGAAGCACTGCCACAGCGACTTGTGCAAGGAGGTCTGCAGTGAGCCCGGAGCTGAAGT